AAACGTTTAAACCCGCTGCATTTGTTTGCACCTGTCCTAAGTCAGAAATCTGATGTTCAGTAGTTTTCGTTTGTTGATGTGGTTCATAAGTGTTTCTCGTTTCTCGTTTTTTATATAGATTAGGCCGTTGGTTTTCCCGTTTGAATGGTTTTACACTAGTAATTTTTGGGGCACTTTATAGCTTACTGTTCGGTGTGAGCCAAGGCTCCGTGTTGAAGACCGTACTTTGACCTATAATGGTTTACTTTTATAAATTTTGACTTGGATGGAGAGTTGTCTCATTGGCACTCATACCACATCTTCTTATATCTACACACTTATAATATGTTATTAGTCAACTCAAATATAACTGTCCTACAACAACTTTGATGTACAAACATTAGACAAGTTTAAATAATTTTTTGAAACAACTCTAGATATATCAGATTAACAAACTCCTTTAATCACTTTAATAAAGTTTAATTATTTGTTGACAACAACTTTAATTAAATGTCACATTAACCATTTTTATTATTTATTGTAACAACTCTTAACATAAAATTAAAAAAAATAGTGACAAAAAAAAACTGATAAACAAAATAAATTTAACAAATAATTACGTAATGCATCTAAACATTTTCAAAAATGAATTAAAAATTACAAAAAAGATTAAAATGTATTTAAAGTATAAATGACAACTGCAAGAAAATATCCAATAATATGCTGATAAAATACCTTTTTGGCAAGTTCACACAAATTATTTAAGACCTGTCTCACCCGAAACAGCTGGACCATGGGATACATTCAGAGATGAAATTTTAACATTAGAAAAAATTACACCCTATTAGCAAAAAGTTGCATAATAACATTTGTAAATTCATCATTTAGGTGTTCAAAACACAGTACATAAAAAAAAGATTGCTTAATGTGGACTTGGTCGGTTTCCCCTTTACTGTAATGGTGTTAAGGCGATAATCACTTATTGGCTCCGACTAGAAAATTAGGCTCATTTCCCTTGCTGCAAAAGAGAAGCAAGATGCATACAAATATTTACATGATCATCACAAATCTTCCTGGTATGGGTCCCCGATTTGAATTTGAAAAAAAAGATTTTTAAAATCCTATAAGAAATACCATAAAGGAGGCCTTTCTGAAACTATAGTTAAGACAAGATGCTCAAACTGGAAAACTTCGCAGCTTCATAAAATTTAACAAACCAGGGATATGGAATTTATTTGACCAGGAGTTATAGTAATTTTGAGCCCAGGAGAAGACAAAATAGATACGAACAACAGCTTTAAACAAACAGGCATATAAAATACAATTTGTAGCAAAATGTCTTTTTGCCAGTATACGCTTTTGCTCATATCTAAATATCTAAATAATAATATAACATGATTTCAAAATAAGGCTATTTCGGCAGTTCTTTGCAGTTTTGCACTAATGTTAAGAAGTTTGAAGCCTTAATGCAAATATGAATGACAAAATTCAATATTATGAAGACAAGAATTGAGAATTGAAAGGGCGAATGTGTCAAATATAGACAACAACCCGACCAAAGAGCAGAAAACAGCACAAGGCCACCAATGGGTCTTCAACGTAGCGAGAAAATTCCGCACCCTGAGACGGGCTTCAGCTGGCCCCTAAACAATAATGTATACGTATATGTCAGACTTATGTCTAATGAACATCCGAAGAAAGTTATGTTGGTAGATTTATAATAATTTTTGATTTTTGATTTCAAGGGGCCAAAAAAGTTGCCTTATCATATCTTCTTCTATTGTTCGAGTAAATGTGAATTGTAGAGTTGACGTTGGGTGTAAAAAAATATATAGCTTTAAGTGCGATTCCCTGTTTCCCTTTTTGTCCTTTTTCGTTTCCTTGTTCCGTTTTTCTTATATGTGTGATTGTTAAATATTTTGTGATGAGAACGAATTATGTCTCGTTTTTTACGTTTAGTATTTTTATTTTTGGCTATCTCACGTATTTCAGTTGTCATTGTCATTCAATGGAAATTTCAGTACTGTATTCTGAAAGTGCTTGCCATTTTGTTTTAATATTTTTCATGGTTGCATACTGCTTGTTCGGCCTTGTGCATCTTTCAAAAAAATTGTGTGATTATTTGGACTCACTGATAAAGGTTCTTATTAATGCAAGAGCTGTGATTTTGAAAAGACGTAACAAGAACAGTTTATAAATAAAAGACACAATGGATAAGCGTTTGGTTGTGAAAAAAAAAAACAACATTCACCCTCCGGTATCTATTCAACGAACCAACTCTTATCCATCGTATCTTCTTTATATATATACATGTTCTGGAATGGAATATCGGTTACATCCACCTATTATTGTACTTACAAGTCTCGTATTTCTCTGTTTTAACATTCTATTACTGCAGCTGCAGCTAGAAGAAGTGGAGGAATTGGATAAGTCTCATGCATGTAATATGCTTTTGGCTTGGGTTACGCACATACAGAATATTACGGGGTTCAAAATTTCTATGTGACCTCAACCCTTATCTTTACCTAACAGGCAGTGTAAATAAATGTAAAAGCCCTTTTATTGTTGTGCTTGACAGATTCTGTAAATATTTTTTTCTATGAGCTTAAAACTTCGCAGCAAGATCAATGAGGCAGTTATAGTAGCGTCGACTTTAAATGCGTTAAAATAGTGAAAAATTACACTTAAAATTTGGTACGTACGATCGAAGCGTTTTTCTGGATTTATCTTCATCGGGACCACTTAGAAAATGTGTGTCAGGTCAGTGAAGAGGCTTCTTAGCTGATGATATCCTCGCCTTAACAGTCTACCAGCAGCGGTACGTATTGACCCATTGCAAGAAAATGAAAATAACTCTTTGTTAATTTGGTCACGGCAGCGTCCGAAGTGTTTTTCTATATTCATTAGAATAACCAAATCCACGTTATGCCAAGTTTACATGAGATACTCGAAATATTTTGGTTTGAGAAGGGATAAATCGTATTTTGTAAAAACCAACTCTGATTCCAACGAAAAATTCTATGAACTTGACATCATCAAGATGCTTGATTTTTTTATTGACAATATATTTGTTACGTTTTTCACTAGACAATCGGCATTCCTGTGTGAATCTGCTGTGCTCCTCTTCTTTTCGTCTTGTCTTTTTATTCATATGAGGCAGACTGCATATATGAGCTTCTCAAAAAGCATAAAAAGAATTTGCATTACCCTTGCACTCCACGTTCCGTTATATAGATAATGTCATCTAACTAAACTAATCAAAGTGTGTTGACTATGTTGAACGCATCTATCCCATTGAACTTGTAGTAACGGATACCACAGGTACAGTAAATTCTGTCTCGTATCTAGAAATTGACAATGAGGATCAGTCGGACACAAAACTTTACGACATAAAGAGCTGATTTCAACTTTCCGATTGTGAACTTTCCATGTCTATATACAGATATATAGGTAGCAATTTAACATTTCCAGCAGGGTCTACATATGCAGTATATACCTTCCAGTTGTTATATAAAACAAGTCTAAATTGAAAACAACGTTCAAACCTATGATTGCATTGGATAAAAACCGCAATTTTTATACGTGTGCATGCAAACCAAATTTCTTGGTAGAGGATTCTAAATACAGCACAAACAACATTTTCCAAAAGACCAAATGAGTGAAAAAGTATGATTTTAACAAAACGCATTTGACTTGCAGGTCGAACAACTGATGTTCTTAAACCCTGCTGACTGCCATTGGCGATTGCCAAATAAACGGATCACAAGATGTAACAAAATAGATCTTCCAGTTGTTATGATATTCCAGAGCTTGCGCTTTCTATATATCATGATTTGCTTAATAGAGGATTACTGCGTACATGGAAGTTATTGAATTAGAGTTCTTAGTGGTAAAGTTAAACTCACCAATTCGAAAGTTTTACGTACGCCATTATGACGGTCTTGACCATTATGGAATACTTGTCAGATGACCACGGGTATGTTCCAATTGTCGTAGCCACCTCCTCCTTTTCTAGTCCTTTTAGTTTAACTGCGCCGGCAGAGGTGAATTTAACTGAGGGGACAGGGGGTCTAGTTACACGAGCATATAATTTTATGGTCAATACCAGGATTTGAGAATTTCTGAATATATGATGATTTATGATAGTTTGTATGAGTGTAACCAATGCAACCAATGTAACCATTATGTCAATGGGGGTTACAAAACAAGGTAACTTAATTCTGGTGCACATTTTGTGCCTTATATGGACTATAGAGATTGCGAAATATATATATATATGATCAAATAAAAAATGAAAAACGTCACAACTCATTCTACGTCACGATTTAAACTTTTAAATGGTTCTTGTCATCGGACCACTGAGTTCATATTGATTCGTAACCATAACTGATGAAAACAATATACCCGACAGTCTTGATTTTGAACCTTCTTCAAAAGTGTCCAATGGGTTGAATAATCCACAAAATTGTCAAACATTACCAGACTATTCAGTTTTGTTTTATCTTTATCGTATATAGTTTATTTGATTTTATCTGGGACTATTATACTATTATGTTAGTATAATAGTCCCAGATTTTATCATTATTAAAAATTTATATCGGGTTTGGCGTTTTTTTTCACCGAAGTTTGTGTTTTTTGGGGGGAATTTTCAGCTGCGGGTTATTTGATTTTACTTTAATGTTTCGTTTATTCTTTATTTTTCTATCCAATTTATTAAAACATTTCTGTTTAATTAGAGCATCATAAATTCGGCTAGATCTACATTGATTTGTACAGAAGGTTTCAAATAAATATGCTAGTTTTTCAGACGCTATATTTTTTCATTAAGCAAAAAAAAAGCATGAAAAAAATTAAGAGACTTGTGCACTTCAATCAGGAATTGAATAATTTAAAAATTCTTGCTTTATTGTACTATTACATTTCCACATTATTGTCTTGTTTCGACATGTACCCTATATAATACCCCATTGTGTGCTATTGAAACCAATCGAAGTATTTTGACAGGCTCCCTAGCAACCAGCCAATGAAATAAAGCTTCACAATATGGCGACCACAATTCCGACAAGAGCTTTCGATGCGAAATGACATAAACTTTTCGAAATAGAATATATTTTGAAAATTTAGGACACTGTTAAAAACCAGGCAAGATGTCGGAAGAAAATGTGAAAGTGGCTGTCAGAGTCAGGCCTTTCATATCCTTTTTATTTAAACAAAATATATTTTTAAGTCTATTATTTCGTTTCTGAAACTGTCATGTTTGACTTGATTTTGTACGGTGTATTCGCTTTTATTTATAATAAGCTGTTATAATGAGACGCTTATAATATAAGGTAAATTTATTCACCATAAATCATCGCATATTTGTGTTGAGCGTGGAGGATACATAGTGATGTGAATTCCTCTCGCAAGTGTAGACATGTTGATTATTTCAGTATTTAGGGCAAATTATTAGCGTCATATTGGATTGTAAGTTAACGGGACGGAATCTCTGTGAGGCACTAGGCATTCAAAGGCATGGACACTGTAAAAAAAAGTGATATATAAACATAACAAGGCAAGGTAAGTCAATAAATGTGCATCAAACCAGGAACATATATATTGATATACTGTTCCCTGATCAAACCATGCAAGCATATCATATGATAAGACGTTGCCTTCTATTTCTACCAGATAATGGCTATAAATGGCATAATCAACGAACTGATTACTCTGCCATGACTGGTGCGCATACAGACCCCTCACCCCTAATAATGTTTGAAATTTAGTTCAGCTTTGTCACCGAGGCTTTTAAAGCCTTGACTGATGTTGCTGATACAACCCCAGGAGTGTTCCAATCTCTGATGGTTTGTTGGAAGAAAGAATATTTCCGGTAATCACTTGATGATGCTGGAATTTGGAAGCAATAATTCTGTCGTGCATGTTCCTTGACAGTCGTTTTGGTAGCATCAAACGACCTTTCTTTGTCACAGCAACTTTATCATTTATTTTTTTTAAAGAGCATGGTGAGTCTTGCATCTTTTCGTCTTTGTTCTAGAGATCTCCATTTTAATTGATTTAGCATCTTGTTTACACACGAGTGGTCATGGTGTTTATTCATCACATATTGTGCTGCTCGTCTCTGGGCCATCTTTAGTTGGTCAATTTCTGTTTTAAAGTGTGGATCCCATACTGGACTGGCATATTCTGTTATAGGTCTTACAAGTGTTTTATACACATTTTCATTTACTGAAGTAGATCCAATGTTAAGATTTTGTTTTAGGAAGCCAATATTTCTATTGGCTTTATTACATACATGTACATTATTAAGATGGTCATTCCATTTGAGTTCAGATGTGAATGTGCAGCCTAAGTATTTGACATGTTTGGCCGGTTCTATAGTGTGACCATGTAGATTATAGGATGCTGTAAAGGTATTGTTTTTCCGGCTGATGGTAAGTACATTGCACTTGTCTGGGTGGAAGTCCATTTCCATTTGGTTTTCCATGTAGCTAGTTTATCAGATCTTTTTGTAGGTTGTAACTAACAACCAAGTCTTTGTCTGATGCAGTGATGATATAGTAAGGTATGATATAGTGTCATCTGCAAATAGGAGGATAGTGGATTTAATTCTATCAGGCATGTCGTTAATGTACATGTAGAACAGGAATAGTGAAGGCCATAGGACTGAGACTTAATATGTGATGAGCTCTCTCTGTCCACTACTACTGCTTGTGTCCGATGCGACAGGAAGCTAGCAATCCACCTATTGACATTTCCTCTGATTCAATAGTGTTCGAGTTTATGTATAAGGAGACTGTGACTGACCTTGTCGAACTCTTTAGAGAAATCATTAATCAGTACATCTGTCTGTTTACCTGCACTCATGTTGTTGGTGATGTTGTCCAAAGTAAGGTTTTGCAAGATCGTTTAGAACCAAAAGCATGTTGTAATGGGTAGAGAATTTTGTGGCGATCTGCATGGTTCATGATGTGGCATGTGATAATGTGCTCTATGAGTTTGCAGCAGATTCAAGTCCGAGATATTAGTCCATAGTTCTCTGTTCTATATTGCTCTCCTTCTTGACGACTGGGCTAACATTGGCAGTCCTCCAGTCAGATGGTACGTCCCCTGTTTCAGTTGATGTTTTAAAGATGATTGTAAGAATTGGGGCTATTTCCAAAGTCAGTTCTTTTAGTAATCTTAGTCTTATAATGTTTGGTCCTGCTGCTTTGTTTGTAATTTTCGTAAGTAATTTTAGTATTCCGTTTTCTGTTATGTTAATTATAAGTTCCTCTGCAGAAGGGCAATACATGTACCTGAAATCGAGATAAGAACTCACGTTGATTGTATGTATCCTTGATGGAGAAAGCTGATTGGAACTGTTTATTAAGGATGGTTGCTTGGTCTACTGGGTGTGAATGTAGTAATCCCTCACTACGTAGTGGTGCCACTCCAATGCTCTCCGTTCGTTTATGTTTTATGTATGTCCAGAACTGTTTCATATTACTGTATTGGTTGTTTTCCTCTTTAGGTGTTACTATGTTTTCAATATAATTCCAGTATGCACGAGGGAGTTGCCACTGTAACAGATTTGAATAATAATTTCGTCAACAATATATGTACAATGTACCGAAATAACTTACAGGATTTTACCAGAAAATTATGTTCATTATACAGCAAGAGTCCCATATGGCACCCCATCATAAATTAACACAAGAACACATTACAGTTTATTCTGTGGAGGTGCCTTATAAGAAACTTTCCAAAATTTCATAATTGGCAATGCTGAGAGGTGTAATCACCTTACTTTCAAAGAGGGGTGGGGATTTTTTGCTGTACCTCATCTTTTCAATTGAAAGATGACAAAAAACAATTACACAACATGTATGTATATGTAGTGATGCTTTCCCTTACCTTGTACCGGTATATACTTTAGCTGTGCTAGAGGAGTACTCCTTTATCTACATTTTATAAATTGGTAGAGCTGTGGCTTACTGTTTCAAGGGTCCATGGATTAAATTCAGGCTGGTACAAGAAATTTTTTTGGAGAAAAGTCATATATACTCATCAGTTACAAAATTGGAGCCTAACTAAAAAATCCATAGTAGACTTCAAAGTTAGAGAAATGATGCCTAGCCAGGGTAAGTGATGTACATTTGTACATGTAGATATTCTCATTAGCTCCAATAGAGGATTACTCATCTAGCTCAGTTGCCATTATATCTCTTCCTTTTTGAACACATATTCTATACACTTTATTCCATTAGGAACAAATAATTTGTTCCAATGGAAATAATATTTTGAAGGAACTCTTATTTCATGACAGAGTGGTGGCTCCCTCGATTATATCCCAGCTGGTATAGTAATATAGACAAGTCATGTTTTCCGGTTATGATTACATAAAAATAAGGAGAGTATGCTAATGACACAACTTCATGTATCCATCATTTTTAGAAATGAGTAATCAGATATTAAACATGAAAATTTAATTTCCTTAACCTTATTCACAATAGAAGAGAAAGGGAGAGAAATGCAAAATGCATTATTGATATGACTGGAAATACTACTAAGATTGAAGACCCTTCATCTTCTGATGAACCCAAAAAATTTACATTTGACTTTAGTTACTGGTCACATGATGGATGTAAGGAGGAGTCTAATGGATACTATGGACCAGATACATCACATCCCAATGGCAAGAAATTCTGTGATCAGGTATACTTATTACATGTTAACAGAAAAACCTTTTGTTTGTTAATTCAAACAAACAATTGTAAATAAATGATTATTTTACAAAATTGTATTGACCAACCATGCATTTATTAAATAATGTGATACTTGTCGCAAACAGTTGACTAAATGGTGCTAAGAGAACTGAAGGAATACATGTACAAAAATATTTGCTTTGTTTAAAATGGCAGAATGCAAAGAAAATTGTGTAGTTACAAATGTAAAATAGACCCCAAAATTTAAAAACAACATAAAAAAGAACAAACTTAATAATTAAAAGCAAGCCTAAGATACATGTATATATAAATAAGGAGATGTGGTATGATTGCCAATGAGACAAATATCCACCAGAGTTCAAACGAAGTGGATAGCATTATTTAAAAAATAGTTATATGGTAACCTTAGAAAAGTAAAACATAAAATTTTTTAGATTCAAACTAAGCTAAACAATCCATAAAGAATACTTTAGTATTACTGTAAATGTTGTTTTATTTCATAAACCAATTTTCATTGTTCAGTGTAGATATATTAGATTAATGAATTTCAATTAATGTATACACTGATTTGGTTACAGATGAAAGTTTATAATGAGCTTGGCGTAGGTGTTCTAGAGAATGCATGGGAAGGCTACAATTCAACTTTGTTTGCCTATGGTCAGACAGGATCGGGAAAAAGTTGGTCTATGGTAGGATATGGTGTAAACAAAGGTAGGTTGACATACATTAGTTTCTTATTACCATTAAGTTATTCATAGATATATGAGAATATGTGATGTAAGAGTTAGTAATACAGCCAACTGAAAACTTTTAGCAAAGTAAATTTAACCTTTGTATCTTTGATGGAGTCTAGTATAGAGGATAGATGAATTTTGTGGCTGAAAGGACTCTTGATATATGAAACAACAATACAAAGTTTATAGTAAAATAGAACAATTAAAAAACAGGAGGGATCTCCCAAGCTACATTTACATGTACAATAACATTTAAACAAGAAAATTTGATGAAATCAACTGAATAATTGTTGACTTTTAATAAATAGATTTTTAATACAAACATTGGACATGGTGCAAAACAGAGGTTTTTTTTATATACCAGTAATTCAGATATCTTCAAAACATCTTTTCTGGTCCTTGTCTGATCTGTAGAAAGGGAAGGAAAAAAATTACTTTTAGGATAATAATTTGTATTACATGTAGCTTATATCTAGACTGTTAACAGTTGCCACATTGTCTGTCCACAATGGCTGTTTTAAAAGATTTCTGAATGAAAAGTTAGTGTTTATTTTCCACTGGGAAATGGAAAATGAAGCTCAATTTTCCAGTTTAAATGTGAAATTTTGAAACCAAACATTTTCTGGGTGATGATTTTAGCTTGCTTTGGAATCCCATTATATGCTACTTCTTAAAATCTCTATGGTCAGCTTATGCTGCTATGACATATACATGTATAGCTAGTGTTATGCTTGTCATTCCACACATCCATTTCAAACTGCAAAAAAAGGTTTAAGAATTTTGCTTTCCTATCAGTGTACATGTAGTTTTAGGAGATTTATTGGCTATGCCAACTTTTAACATGTTTACTATTTTTTTGCCACCTTGTAAGTGTTCAAAATTTGCTAAAACAGCAATCTGTCTTTGTTTAAAACAATAGTTGATAGTTATTACAAAGAAACTACAAGAAAGAATCTTCCCTTTTGTTTCTATTAAGTACATGTACTCTGTCATATTTTGTATATGGCAGCCATTATCACCCTGTAAACTATGACCCCTACCCAAATAGTAACAAAACAAGTAATGTTAATTTTCATAGTCATATGTTAAAAAATGCATATGATATTTTACAACTGATTCTACTTTAAAATTAACAAACATGAAACTTTAAAGAATTTGAAGCATGATCTTTATACAATATATGTTTTGATTGATCACAGGAATTGTGCCTTTATATTGTGAAAACATCTTCAAACAGATTGAAGAAAAGAAGGCTGGTGGAGAAAAAACAGAATATGAGGTATGTTAAACAGTTGTTATAAAACTGTTAGGTAAATGATTGGGCCATCATGTATTGCCTTTACTCTCGAGCATTGAGAAACTCATAGCTTTGTACAGTCACATCAAAAGAGAACTGAATATTTATACATTTAGTTGCATATTATACTTAGATCATGGTTTAAGTAGAATATGTTTCTTTTAATGTTAGTTAAATAAAGAATATACACTATGAAAGTTTTTGTTAAGAAGAATTTCTTAAAAATTAGTTTTTATGTGACCTATGACACACAGGTCACTTCTAAAGAGATTGAACAAGAAATTCTCATTAATCTTTCTATTTAATTGTAGCAGAATTTCAGATTGACTATTGTTAAACTTCTCTGTAGTATAAATTGATAAAACATTTGATTTAAATCTTCATTATAGGTCACTTTCAGTATGTTAGAAATCTACAATGAACAAATACGAGATTTATTAGACTCTAAGACAAGAAAGGGAGGTCTGAAATGTAGACAGCATCCTAAACAGGGCTTTTATGGTAAGTGATTACATTTATTTGGAATCATTTTAATGAATAATCCATAGCAGTTAAAGGTATTTCAGTCATAAAAAAGATTTAAGAATAGTTTAATGGCTTGCAAATGAATTTGACAAAAAAAAGAGAGATAGAAATGCAATATTCAGATAAAACTTCAAATTACTAATAATGCAACATGGAAATCATTTATGCTAAGAGCACTACAAGTGTTTTAGTCAATTTTGCATAGCATTATTCATATGGAGAATTACTTATATTATAAAAATGCCTGTGAAAATTTGGTACTCTATGTATTAGCATCCATGTATCTAAGTCATAAGACTTGGTCCCTCAGTCATATTTATTGTAAAAAGGGGATTGCAAGATAGTGGTTAGGAAATGTAAATTCTTAACAGCACATTGAAAACATACTCCTTCAATTAGGTTTGCATAGACAAGGAACACATTATGTCTTCTTAAGAGTTGACTCCATTAAAATTCTTATATTTGAAAAAGTACTATTTGGAGGCCTTTTATTGCTTACTATGCGGTATGGGTTTTGCTCATTGTTGAAGGTTGTACGGTGACCTATAGTCATTTAATTCTACATCATTTGGTCTCTGGTGGAGATTTGTCTCATTTACACTCATACCATTTCTTATTTTTATATATACATCGTTTTCAATTTTAGCTGAGGGACTCAAGATTGTACCAGTCAGCAGTTATGTTGATATTGAAGCAAAAACAGAAGAGGGAACAAGAAACAGAACTGTTGCATCAACCGCCATGAATGCTACTAGCAGGTAAGAAACATGGATGATTTTTAGAGGAAGGGTCACTTCAAAATACAAAACTTGAACTATTTCCATGCCTTGGAAAATCTCTGGTAAAAAGTTAATAAACCTGCCACATAAGACCACAAAAAATATTTTGAATGTATATATAGATGTCCTCTTGATTTAGAAAAAAATATTCTCTGTCCGTCAATCATACTATTATGTTAATCTTTTCATGATTTAAAACCAAATGAATCTTGACAATTTCATAGGTTCTAATATGTGAATGCATAGATATAGATATAAGAAGCATACTTTGGTCCATTTAGTGTATCCAGAAATAGGATTTTTTGTCTTCAATCTTAGACAGCACTAGTTGGTTGATGTTAACATACATAAGAGTTTCCCTATCACTATATGTTATGGTTCTCAATGTCATGTTTGTGTTTATTAACTTCTGTCAGCTTACATTTATAACTTTAGTCCAACACATGTGCCTTTGATGTGTAGCACTTGGAAAAGTGTCTTCCTGCATACTAAATTATTTACTATATCTGTTTTTTTTTGGGGGGGGTATGCAAAAAAAATAGATATGCATAAACATAAAATCAATGTAATTTCCATAGATTGGATCTCATTCAGTTACATAATAGTAATGCCACTACATGTCAGAGGCCAGTTTTCCATTCCTCTTTCCTGGGTTATGGTCTGGTCACATGTGTGTCCAAAATAAGTATTTGTTTTGTCTTTTGAAAGACGTCAACTTTGACATATTAAATTCCGGACTCCAGCTAGTAGAGCATGAAGAACCTAATCCCTACATAACATGCACATATTGTTGTATGTGTTTTCCTAGCTGAATGTTTTCACTTACCAGATTTAACAAAATGTCTTTATCTTACATAAGTTGTGCCTTTGTTAAATACATATATCTGTGAAATAATTATATGAGAATAACATCAAAATGGGGTCTGATTTGATACAGAAAAATAATATATGGTGTGTTTTGTTCTGGAATATTTCATCACTGAGCTGGCAGTATTAAATCCAGTTGAAGATTAATATCTGTTATTCAACATCCAGTAAAACTGATCCACTATTATAGCTATTTATGTTTTTTTTTATCAGTGTTCACACTGTACTAACATCAGTGAATAAGGATTTTCCAATACGGAATTATGGCAATTTAATCCTTTCTGTCTCTGATCATTGAAGAATGTCATAGAAATGATAGGAGGTAAAAGTCTTGATGAAATAAAAGATATATTTTCTTATATATTACAAATGAATACTGCTATGATATAAAGCAGCTAGCCACTACATATAGTGAAAGATGGTGGCATGCAGGGCTTCCAAAATTACTTTTAGCAAGCCGGAAATTTTATATATTATCCAGATTTTAATCCCTTAAGACTAAATAAACAAAAGGCAATTATGGTAATCAGTTGCCGAGTTGGCCATCCCAATGATTGACATAAAAAAAAACGATATTAAACTTTCTTTGATTCAAATTCAAAGTTTTGACGTAAACTGTTAATTTGTTTAATTGGCAGTGCATCATTCGAAGTGTGCAACAATAAATTACATCAGCGTACTTATATTTGCCTTAGACTCTTTATTTGTGCAAAATAACGTTGTCAAAACTTTACTTTCGTTTTTAATCTAATACCGGATGTTATCTTGACAATGGTAAAACATGGACCAGAGACGGATACGTAAATTCTGTGTACATTTGCAAAGCATGAATGAGTGGAAGTAGTTCCTTCTACATTATTTCTTCAAGAAAATATTCGAAATAAACATGAGATAAAGGTATCAATGACAATTTACGCATTTTTTGAAGAAATTAGGATGCATAATTAAATTTCACAGATGCGCACATGTGTACTAGTTCAAACAGAGACATGTCACTAGTTCAAACAACGTGGTTATGACGATGTTTCATTTTCACCTTTTTAATTTTTTCATCAAATCATAATTGTAAACGTATTTCTGATAATTTAAATCTTTTTGACTAAATTAATTAGATGCAAACCACTGAAATGTAAGAAAATAACTTTGAATAGACCGATCAATGTCCGGTTCAAAATAGTTTACCTGTCACCTGAACAGGTAAATTTCAGCTGTTCGACAACTAATTAGCCTTGATTAAAATGAGAAGGTATTAAAGTAGGGGTTGTTTTGTTAGTACTTAATGATCATGTCACTTTATGACCGGAAATGTGTGGCTGTTAAAGGCAAAACGTTGGGTCAAAAAGATCGTGAATTCTGTTAAAATGACCGTCTCTTAAAGCCTTGCAAACTAAAAAGTAGATGAACATTTCATGCTTTGCCAAGCCGGACTTTTACCGGACATTATACAAATGTCCGGCAAATATGACCGTTTTGGAAGCCTTGGTGGCATGCCTCTATAGAATATCCTGACAGCTTTTTGGCAATTATTACCATGTACATGTATTATGTATTGGAATGATACATCCTCTATAGACTAAAATGCAATTGTTTGTTATGAATGAGTTACACCAGTTGACCCAAGGTCAATCTGCATAAATGACGTCATTGAACAATCAGTTCTTACTGTGATGTAATAACATTTAAGCATTATGACATAAGAAATGAGCAGAGAAATGCATGCACTTGAAAGTTGTCCATGCTGTATCTTTGGCAGTACAAGTTGAAAGGAAATCTGAACTTGTAAGCAGATGTATTATAGATAATGGTCAGTGTCTGGGCATAACTCTTTTATATGCTTCAATAAGTTTAGTTAAAATTATAAAGTTTTGTAAGAATTAGAAATGAAGATGTGCTTTTTGTAGTAAGACAGAAATCTGGCAAAATTGGAATGACATTTTTTTTTATATTTCACTGAATTTGATTCAAGTTAATTTGATATAAAAATAAGAAGATGTTGTATAATTGCCTACGAGACAACTCTCCACAAGAGACCAAATGACACAGAAGTTAACAACAATAGGTCACTGTACGGCCTTCAACAATGAGCAAAACATATACTGCATAGTCAGCTATAAAAGGCCCTGAAATGACAAATGTAAAACAATTCAGTATACATCAGATCTCTGTAAAGCTGTGCATTTGTTTAAAACTAGATCAATCTGACCTACTCTCCATGTCCATTGGCATTGTTATAACACAGAGTTAGGAGAGAATACATGGCAGTCTATAACTATATTTTTTGATTTATTTATTCAATCCTGAATTATTTTTGTTTATAAGTATTTTGAACCTTTGATGCATGGTTACATATGTCTGGATATAATAGCACTCCCTCATACCATTGTCAACCCTTGTATATTTCTTTTGAGAAAAAAAGAGCAATAAAAGCAACAGGCAACCCCTGAAATATGGTTGATAGCATGTACCCTTTGAAGTAGAGCTTATTTGCACTGCAACAGTCATATCTTAAAAAAATGCATATATATACCTAGTAGGCAAAGGTGGAAAATTAGATTCAAAGTAAATAAATCCAATTTTGGAAAGGTATTATAAAGCCATGAAAGTGTTTTAATCTTGTTTGCAATAATGTATTAGCAACATATAAAATAAGGGACTTTCTCAAAGTTGACAAGTACATCCATTACCTTAGTAGAAAGTGTTTATAGAGTGTTGAAATGTCTGTAAAGATAAATCAATTCTGTAATTAATGATCTTTATTACAGAATTATCTCCTTATTCAACCAACAGAACAAAATAATCTTCAATATAAGGCGCAGTACAGTTTAATTAAATACCTTGAGAGAACAATGGATTGGCTTTCATACATGTAAATAGCTTTTAGTGCTACCATGGCTTCAATATAAATATTTTGTCCCTAATCATATTTCTAGACTGGTTATTCTATAATGAGGTTTATTTTATTGATTGTTAATTTCTGTTGTGTACTTATGTACAAGCAATGATTCGTGAATAACTTAAATGTAATGACATAGCTCTTAAGTTACATGTACCGAGTATTAAGAGTAAACATGATGAAAGGACAAAAAATTCATGCATATTAATAAGCTTATGATAAAAAATATTTCTTTATGTATTGATATTCAATACTTTCTACTTTCAATCAAAATTTTAATGTTACATGGTCAGTAAATTCTATATCTTATTCATTAAGTAAACTAATATTCAAATTTTCAATGAAATATAAGTGTTTCATATTCCTAATAAAACCTATAATATTAATTTATCAGTTTTATATAAAAATTAAGTATAAACTACAGGGATAAAAAGGTGAATAATTAGGCTTAGTGAGGATGATTGCAAATAAAAATTAACATTGACTTATAAAAAAGATGAAATTATAAGTTTGGACCAAGTCACCAAGGAATTTATTTTATATTGATTATACAATCTAGCTGATCTTTATATGTTAATGGCCTTCATACAATATGAAGGTTATGTTTGTACATATATAACAATATTGCCAAATAAGCTTTCTTCCAAACATAAACATACAATCTTTCAATCAGTTTAATTGGGGTCTGGAGCTGGCATGTCAGTAACTGCTAGTAGTCCTTTGTTTATTTATGTATCATTGTCATTTTCCTTAGTTTCTTTTGTTACCTATTCTGACATCGGGGTCGGACTTCTTTTAAACTGAAATTTACTGTGCGTATTGCTGTGCGTATGTTTATTCTACATTGGCTAGAGGTACATGTATAGGGGGAGGGTTGAGATCTCACAAAACATGTTTAACCCCACTGCATTTTTGCGCCTGTCCCAAGTCCGGAGCCTCTGGCCATTGTTAGTCTTGTATGTTTTTTTAATTTTAGTTCATTTATATGTTTTGGAGTTACGTATGATGTCCATTTTCACTGAACTAGTACACATTTTTATTTAGGGCCAGCTGAGGCCCACCTCCGGGTTTGGGATTTTCTCGCTCCATTGGAGACCCATTGGTGTCTGCTCTTTGTTCGGGTTGTTGTCTCTTTGACATATTCCCCATTTCCATTCTCAATTTTAATATATACATATAAAAGCCCAAACAACAGCCACATTATGTATATATACACATATTTATAGATATGTATGCCAGAAATATTTAGCACCACAAAATTATTATACATTACAGGACTTTATGTTGATTCTATAGATTTACTTAGCAGTTAAATACATGTAAAGAGATTTAAAGCTTATTTACTGCTTATATAAATTTTCCATCTTTTGATGAGGGTAATTATGTGATAGATATGAAGTCATACTTTTTGACCGACTTTTTCTGCAGGTTTAATGTCAAGTAACACCTAAAGAAATTGACATTCATGAATAACTGCTTTGATTAACATGAATATGAAATGACAATGTTGCATTGGTATTATATTAATCTTATAAAACCTTGAAAATACAAAAATAGATTGTTTAAAATCTGTTATGTAGAGGAATTAAGTCAATCCTATTGTAAATTTAAAATGACATAATTTCAAAAGATTTAAATGTAATAATAGCAGTTTGTTTCACCTTACTTAATTTCATATATAATTAATTTATCATTTTTACTTACAGATTAATTTAATCAAAACAAATAGTTTATGAAGTGACCCTCTAGCTCTTCTCCCTTTTTTGGTTCAGAAAGATTATGTTTTTCTCAGACATGTTTCATTATTCAATCAAACGGAAACAAGCTATTCCAGTTTAAACGCAAGGCTGAATAATTAATTGCATTTTATCTTTTGTTTCAAATTTATGTGACTTTAAAGCTGCTTCTTGAATAAAGATTGAAAGTTGAAAATAGATTTTACAGTTCATACCTTCAATAATGTATAAGCCCTGTTTTAGAAAAGTTTTTTCTATGGCAGTTTATCTTAGGTGTTTCTAATAACAAATATTTCTGAAAAATTTGACCAATCCTATATGCTAGATTTATTTATTTTCTAATCATCACGCATGAGGTGTTGTTTAAAAAAAACTTGCTAGGTACATATATAAGGTATTAGTATGACACAATAACGGCATTTATAAAACACTCAATATACAATGGTGGGTCAAGGATTTTTAAAAAGTGTGTCGTGTCCAAATGGGACCACAGAAAAAAACGATCTAACAAGGTTATACATGTATTGTTTTATAAAAAAAACCCAAAAAACTCAAGTCTTAAAATGGGAACAGGCCACCTTAGCCCCTGGGACATTTTATAAGAGGTGTCACATTAAAGACAAGAGGAAAATCAATTATTATCCACTTGTCATTTCAAGATCTATTGAAGCAGTTACAAATGAAACTTTCCAGACATATGTATCTTCTGAGTTTGTAATCTACTGGTCATTGGACACATTGTAAACATACAAACAATTGTCTACTGGCTTGAATATGTTTTCAATAATAGAATAGTCTTCTCTACAAATATATCTTGAAGAAAATTACACAACAGCTGAATAAAACAAATAGATATAAGAAGATGTGGTATGAGTGCCAATGAGGCAACTCTCCGTCCAAGTCACAATTTATAAAAGTAAACCATTATAGGTCAAGGTACGGCCTTCAACACGGAGCATTGGCTCACACCGAACAGCAAGCTATAAAGGGCCACAAAAATTACTAGTGTAAAACCAATCAAACGGGAAAATCAACGGTCTAATCTATATAAATAACAAGAAACGAGAAACAATTATGAACCACATCAACAAATGACAACTACTGAACCTCAGATTCCTGACTTAGTAGGACAGGTGCAAACAATTGCAGCGTGTTTAGATGTTTTAATGGTACCAAACCTTCACCCTTATCTTAAACAATAGTGCAACTCAATTGAAATGGCTTAACTCAATCAAAAGACATATTAACACAAGTGAACATACACTGAACTAATAAATTTGATCTATGATACAATGCAAATAAAAATCAATAAAATAAGGGATGAATAATTAAAGTAACAGTCTTATACCGCTGTGAAATGTTACAATAATATTATACACAGGTAAATGAAAATAATTTTGTTGTTAGGTATACAGTTTAAATGGACAAAGGAAATATTTTTACAAAATAAATAATTTTGATGTTCATAGTTCAAAGAAGTGAAAATTTATTGTAATACCAAACACTTATCAAAGCTGGTATATAGACCAGATATAACCCTGAATAAGTAAACATTAAATAACAAAAAAGCATTACAAATAGTATCAACAGGTCAAATTAACAAGAAAGTACGATTTGAGAGTACTCGCAGTTACTGACAGCTAGTTAAAAGCCAAAAACAACTAACAATAAAAAATCATGCATCAGAGACTAAAATCAACTAAAACACATCCCAGGGATTTAGTATTTTAACGTCATGGACAGTCAAAGAAGACATGATTTGTGCAATGCCAAAAATAAGTGTATCGACAGGCAGTAGGATAGTTAGGAGTTAACCTCTTAATAGATAAAAATGAACGTGGGTGTGTCTTTATACATCCCGTTTGAAAAGAATACAAATTTAGTTATGTTTTAATTTGCTGATGACAAAATCGATACTAGTGCCAATGTAAACTATACTCAAAGATCTAATTACAACATTGGTAAGAAGTCCATTACTCAGATATACAGCATCCATCATGAATGGTCCTGCTTTTATAGTCATTTGGCTGGAGCTTGACATTAGGTTAGGAACATTCTGTAGTGTCTTGTTGATTGTCCACAGTCTTCTTTCTGTAAATGGCTTTAGGTTCTGCTTTAGACAGGTGCTACTGTTAACTGATCATAAATCATGAAAATACACAAATGTGTGTATTTAACTTTTTATTTAAATGATATATATAATTCTTTCAGTCGTGCCCATACAATAGTTGGTATTACATTTGTACAGAAATATATCAATGCTGCAGGAGAAGAAACAGCAAAGACTTCTATAGTTAACCTGGTAGATTTAGCTGGAAGGTAAGTTATAGTGGGAGGAGCTAAATAACAATATCATGACATCAGCTTATTTAAATGTTTTACTAAGTTCTAAGATCTTTTTGATTAAGTTTTTTAAGGGTGAGGAGGAAATTCATTTAGAATTTGTTTAAAACTAAGGTATACTTTTCACTGTTTTGAAATGTGGATTTTGTAATAATTGCAGATCATTGCACTAATGATTTTTTTCTTATTTGTGGATATGGTGCGGGCAATATGGCATTTTGGACTTTACTTCATTCACTTCTTTAATCCAGACAAGAACCAGTAAGACTTTCCTTCCTTTTGTACTTAGATAAGTACAAATGATTTTAGACTAACATTTTTCAAAACTATTAACTTAAAATCAATAAGATGCTGCAGTCAGACTAAAGCCAACCCCCACTATTCACTTGCGTTTGTCAGTTAATGCTTATGTTGGGAACTAATTAGGTCACCTTATTCAGGACATATATTCATAATAAATGTTATCTAAAAGTCTGATGTACTAGTCATTTTTTTAAAGATGATTTTGTAAGCTAAATATATGAAATTTGATTTGAACAGTGAACGTGCTGAGAGTACAGGAGCAACAGGAGACAGACTCAAAGAGGGTGCAGCCATTAACCAGTCTCTATCATGTCTAGGAAATTGTATTGCAGCCTTAGCAGACAATGCAGGAGGAAAGAAAACAAGAGGTAAATTACGTCTTATAAGAATTTATTGTTAAAATATTTAAGCTTTGATAGTTCTGATGTTTTATTTTACCTGTTAAGGTATTTTGCAGATTTATTAAAAAGAAATACAGAAATTTGTTAATTATTTTTAAACAAAAGTAAGTATGATCATACTATATGTTCCATGGTTAATATGTACTGAATTATGTTGTGACAGAATCATGGATGAGGTAAAGCATGGCCTGTCATAATCAAAGTTAAAACAGTAGGTAACATATGATAATGTTTTCATGTTTCAAATTGACCAGATTTATTGTACATTGAGTTATTTGGAACATGAAGTCAATATTACTATTCTGTATTCTGTATGTGATATTCAGGAAAATTTGTAAGAGGCTGTTGGAGAAGGGGGATGTTTGAAGAATTTTTCTCAAAAATACTACCTATACACATTTTAAACTTTGCAAGGGGGAATTCTGAGTACAATGTATTTTTAGTCTCCTACGGTCAAAGTCGAAAGGGAATTTAGGATTGTACTCCGTTCCTCTGTCGGTCTGGAAAATCAGTTTTCCACACTTTTTTTATTTATGCTTAAAGATATTGATTTGATATTTGGTATGTAGTTTTATCATGACCAGTTAAAGATCAAGTTTGAATTTTGCTCTGGTCTGATGATTTTGTGTAGAGTTATGGTTCTTGGACTTAGAAAATTCACACAAGTAATCAATTTTCCACACTTTTTTCATGAATTTTAACAAGTAGGGGACTATGTATTGCCATGCAATACTCTCAGAATGCTTGTTTTTCTTTGAATAATCTTTTGAACCTGTAGACACTCATACATTATAACATTGTAAATTTGATGCCTTCCGACTTTGCTGACAACATTCCAAGCATCAATCAATATTGTTTTAATTGGACCAAAAGTTGTTACATATTTTATTTTTTCATTGTTTCAGTGCCTTACAGAGATTCCGTCCTGACCAAACTCCTCAAGAATGCCTTAGGAGGAAACAGCAAAACTATTATGGTAAGGGGAGATAACTCTAAACTATCTCGAGTAAAAACTTTTTCCTATTTACATGATTGATTACAATCTTATCTTTTTTTATAAACAAGGTACATGAATATAACTGTCAAATATGAGGAATATAGAGGAATCACCTGTCTGTCTATAAACTTACACCTCACATACATATTGTCAATGAAACTACAATATGTTCAGAGACAAGTTTTTATGAGTTAAAGATGTTTATTTTAGTCACAATTATTGTGGTTTTATTAATTTTTATAAAATTCTTTGTAAATGATAAACAGTGTAAAGATGAATAAAATGATAATTGGAGTGTAAATGTCAATGAGACAACAACCCAACAACATAGAATCAATAGAGTTTATGCATAATAGAAATAAGGGGGGGGGGGGGTATTTTATTTTAGTAAATTAAATTTGGATTATTTATCATTATATAGTATATTGCTCAATTATGCATATGCTGTTCTTTTTGTTTTATTAGATTGCTGCTCTCAGTCCAGCAGATATCAACTATGATGAAACACTGTCAACATTACGTTATGGTATGTATAAGTAATTTTATAGAGAGCAAATTATAAATTTCATTGAAATTTAATGGACACTATTTTAACATATAACGCATTCTTTTGAACAAAGTTTCAAATGAAATTGTGGTTTTAATGTTCTATTTAAAATTTCAGTTTAAACATGTATGACAACAACAAAAAAGATTTAATGTTTGGTGTCATATTTTGAAGCTCAACTTTCTTAAACCCAGTACCAGGTATGTTTAATTATAGGAACAGGAACAGTTTTTGTATTGATTCACAAAACAAAATATCAAATTAATTGAAATTAGTTAACCTGGTTAAGAAAGCATTAAAATACATATTAATATACAATATAGATCTTCCATCCATAGTTTATAAACTGTCTTTATAGCTGACAGAGCAAAGCAAATTAAAACAAAAAGCTCAGTCAATGAGGATCCAACAGCACAACTGATTCGTGAGCTTCAAGAGGAGAATGAAAGATTGAAGAAAGCGATCGAATCTGGAAATCTTACAATAATCCAAGGAGATGGTGAAGAAGATGACGACATGAGTGAAGAAGGTAAAGAAACAATAGTAATATGAAAACACACAAGAGCATTTGAGCTCCTTGGACTCTTTGAAAAAAGTTGTCCTATTTATTGAGAATGAGACCTTATGAAGACATTCATGCATAGTTATTTTGTGAAAAGAAATACTTATACATTCTTTGAAAATGCCTCAAAAATGAGAGGGGAAATAAGGCTAAAAATTTTGTCATATATGCCTGCAGTATTTAAAAATGAAATTGATAACAATTATTAATGTGGAAACAATACCTCATTTTTCACAAAGAAGAATATACATGTACAACTATTTGATAGTAAAATTAAACAGCTAGTATTAGTATTAGTATTAGTATTAGCTTTCAATGATATTCTACAGTATGGAAATGTTCTGTTTTATTGAAATATTTTGATTCAAATCAAATTTAAGTAGTCAGTGTGACAATATATGTCCAGAACTTCAACTAGATTAAGTGGGCAAATTATTGTCAATGTAAGTCTTCTTTTAGTTTTAGTCAATATCAAATTATCTTGCTTTAAGTAGCAATGAGGTTTTGAATTTTCACATTTTTCAAGAGAACAATTGCCAATTAATATATTTTGTTTGTTCCACACAATATATATAACGTTGATTTTATAGAAAGGGAAAAGATTAAACAGGAGTTAGATGATGAATATAAGAGTATCTTAGAAAAAAATCAAAAGGAGATGGAAGAAATGAAGAAGACTTTTGAAGAAAGGTTAAAGGAACAAGGAACAGTAAGTATAATTCCAGTTTTATTGTCTTTCCTGTGACGAATAGGGACCAGTGTTCTCCCTAGATATTTCATATAGCATCCTGGTAAACAGGGAAATTTGAAATACCATCTGGTTTCTAAAAATTATAGCATCACATCCATAACACAATCTATAAGAAAATCAATTCAGATAGCATCACATTCAAGAAATATAGCATCACATTACCATGATGCTAACAGCCCCTCGGGAAAACACTGGGGACTACAATTTGTGGCTTTATATTTCCGAAGGTAGAAGACGTGGATGCATTATATTTGGTGTATTAAATGATTGTAAGGTGTACATGTCTGTCTGGCAGGGTTCATCTGATCTTGACCTCATTTTCATGTTTCAATGGACAATGTTCAGTTTTGAGGTTTGGTCTATTTTTCAGATATTATAAGCAATAAGTCAATTATATTTAGTGTATGGAACAATTGTAAGGTGTACATGTCTGTCTGGCAGGGTTCATATGACCTTGACCTCATTTTCTTGGTTCAGTGATCAATGTTAAGATTTTGTGGTTGATCTGTTTCTCAGGTACTATTAGCGATAGGACCACTATACTTGGTGTATGGAATGATTGTAAGGTGTACATGTCTGTCTGGCATGGTTCATCTGACCTTGACCTCGGTTTCATAGAACATTGATAATGTTAAGTTTAAGTGATAATTGTAAAATCTTCATATTACAGACTCAATATGAACTCAATGATAAGTAAAACAGTCGAGACATTTCAGCGTGTGCACTCTTTAATCCTGGAATGGAAAAATTTGTTCAATAGAATCTACTTAATTTAGTTGTCAATTGTCCGCTGTTTTTTTGCCCCGCCTATGATAGTAGTAGGGGCATTATGTTTTCTGGTTTGTGCGTCTGTTCGTTTGTTAGTCTGTTCATTCATCCGTCTGTCCAGTGTCAGGTTAAAGTTTTTGGTCAAGGTAGTTTTTGATGAAGTTGAAGTCCAATCAACTTGAAACTTAGTACACATGTTTCCTATGATATGATCTTTCTAATTTTAATGCCAAATTAGAGTTTTCACCCCAATTTCACGGTCCACTGAACATAGAAAATGAAAGTGCGAGTGGGGCATCTGTGTACTATGGACACATTCTTGTTACTTCAAAATTAAAATTGCCATGAAGGGGTGCGGATTATAGAGTACTATAAGCATAAAATAGGAGATAAACTTGATTTTGTTATGTTTGTCTACGTTGCACCATGTATGTTATTAAAATTGTAGAGGACGCCTTATTTCTTTTCAAAACTATTAATTCACCTGATCCATATCAATATGCAATTTTATTTTAAAATCCAATATAGAATGATATGTATCAATATCAAATGCTTCATTACAAATTTCTCATTTCTTTTCCTGGTATTGCATAACTTAAATTGGAAACCGCTTGTAAACAACACAACAAAAAGTGAAGAAGTCAGCTGGGAACCAGCTTATGCATAATAACGATGTATAAACTACAAAACATAATCAGTTATTCGTTCTGTTTTGGTGTTTCATATTGCTGCATGTAATTTTAGCTAAATGCCCTTCAAACATAAATGTGATGAATATATCATGTTTTGAAATTACATGAGTTTCTCTAGACGTTTTCAACAAGTCGCAAAAAGTTTTTTTCCTGAATTCCCTGTGGGGAAAAGGGGGGTGCAGACTTAACAAGGCCGATTACGGTAATTAAGTTTTATTGTGTTTTAAACACAAAAAGCAAAGGAACTGCGCTTTTATGCAGTATTGACTGTTTGATAAACATGTAGTATTGTGATAAGCATCCAATATTGACTGTTTGATAAGCATGCAGTATTGACTGTGATAAGCATGCATTAATGACTGTTTAATAAGCATGTAGTATTGACTGTTTGATAAGCATTCTTTATTGACTGTCTGATAAGCATCCTTTATTAACTGTTTGATAAGCATTCTTTATTAACTGTTTGATAAGCTTGCAGTATTGACTGTTACATTGTAAGCTAGCACATTATAAATCTGATCTACTCATGCCAAAATTAGAAAGGTGACAGATGCTACTTCTGCCTAAAATATAGGGGGGGATTCTGTCTCCCATGTACACCTACTGCTTTTATTTCGTTTTTTTTTATTTATACCTAATGTGAATGAAATGTTTTTTGTTCAAAGGGAGGTACAGATTTAGCTGATATCAAAGAGAAAAAGAAGACAATTCCACATATCTACAACCTAAACATGGACCCTCAATTAACAGGACACATGTTTCACTTTCTAGATGCTCCATCTAAATCATTCGGTGCTGCTACAGAAGGAATAGATATTACTATACATGGACCAAGGTATGGTACTAGTTTCTATTATAGAAATATGGCATTTTAATATAGTGACTGACCTGCACTATAAGTTGCATAATGCAAGACATAGGGATGCTAATCAGACAGGGACTTGATATAAACTATTTGTATAAAGCTTTATAATTCAGAAGCTAGAAGACCTGGATACTTCATATCTTGTAAACAGATGCTTTGTTTCCTGAGGTTTTCTTTTGTATATGCCTTGACTGCTTCAAAATAATTTTGTTTACCACATGATTTTCTAACTTAAAATGAGTTTCAGAACAACTATATTTGGTTTATAGAATCATTGCAAGGTATATCTGTCCTTCTGATAGGATTGAATAATCATCACCTCATTTCATAGATCAGTGATCAATGTTAATAGAAATAAGAAGATGTGGTATGAGACAACTCTCCATCCAAGTCACAATGTGTAAAAAGTAAACAATTATTATTCAAAGTACAGCCTTCAACACGGAGCCTTAATTGGCTCACACTGAACAGCAAGCTATAAAGGGCCCCAAAATGACTAGTGTAAAACAATTCAAATAGGAACAACAATGGTCTAATCTATATAAAAAATGAGAAACAAAAAACACTTATGAACCACATCAACAGACGACAACGACTAAACAGGCTCCTGACTTCGGACAGGTGCATACAAATGCAGCGGATTTAAACTTTTTATCAGGAGCCAACCTTCACCCTAACCTGAAACAGTAGTGTCACATCATAACATAAAAAGACACACTATGAAATATCAATTGAAAAGGCTTAACTCGATCAAAAAGACATATAGACAAAAACAAGTAAACATACACTGAACGAATAAATTTTGATACATTATAAATACAATAATAATAAAAAAGATTCAAAATCATGTCAAAAAGACAACTTTAACCTGGAACAAAATGACGTTAAATAAAATAATGTAAACAGGAAAATTTAAATATGATAATTTTGTTGTTAGGAGTACGTAATATTTTTTATATTTTATAAATTAAATAAATTTGTTGTTCACAGTATGAGTACAGAAGTGAAAATTTATCGTAATACTAATTAAAGGTACTTCATATTAAAAATAGTGAGACGAGATATAACACAAAATAAGTAAACATTGAATAACAAAAATGAATTTCTAGTTGTGTCAACAGGTCAAATTAACATGAAAATACGATTTTAGAGTAATCAGAGTAAAGCTAGTTAAAAGCCAAAAACAAATAAGTTTTCATGGTTAAGTCATGTTTATAAGCAATAGGTCAACAATAATTGGTATAAAATTATAATACTTGAACATCTGGTATGGTTCATTTGATCTTGACCACAACTGTATCTTTTGCATTTTAGATTAAGACATATCTGGCAAATATAAATGTTTCCGAAACCCTTACAATCAATAAATTACATGTTTTCTTCTACATTTTTCAGTATTTCTATGAAGCATGCTGTTTTCACTGAGGCAGATGGAAAATTCAGTATTGAACCTATGGAGGCAAATGTACGTCTGCTTGTCAATGGGAAAGCAATAGGAACAAAAACACAACTTTCACATAATGACAGAATTATTTTTGGTACTACTAAGTATTTTGTTTATGTTAATCCTAAAGAAAGAGACAGTTCTAAAGAACAACATAAAGAAATAACATTTGAGATGGCTCAGGAAGAAATTGCAAAAAAATCTGGATTTGATGTGGAAGGACAAAACAAATCTAGGGGTAAGAATAGTTATAAGGTTGGTTTTCTTAGTAGATATGAATCATTTAAACCTCAGACTTTCATGAGATTAAGAATACAATGTCTAAACAATATTGTTAAGAAATGTATGAAAGTTGATTTAACAGTTAAAAAACTTTATTCCCTGTATAAATTCCCCACTATCATGATATTATATATCCTTTTGTTTGTATTACAGATGATGTAATTCTCCTACATCCTGATATTAGATATCCTTTTGTTTGGATTACAGAGGATGTAATTCTCCTACATCCTGATATTAGATATCCTTTTGTTTGAATTACAGAGGATGTAATTCTCCTACATCCTGATATTAGATATCCTTTTGTTTGGACTACAGAGGATGTCATTCTCCTACATCCTGATATTAGATATCCTTTTGTTTGGATTACAGAGGATGTAATTCTCCGACCTCCTGATATTAGATATACTTTTGTTTGGATTACAGATGATGTAATTCTCCTACATCCTGATATTAGATATCCTTTTGTTTGGATTACAGAGGATGTAATTCTCCAACATCCTGATATTAGATATCCTTTTGTTTTGATAACAGAGGATGTAATTCTCCTACATCCTGATATTAGATATCCTTTTGTTTGGATTACAGATGATGTAATTCTCCTACATCCTGATATAATATACTTTTGTTTGAATTTTAGAGGATGTATTATTACAAGAGGATTTGTTAGAAATGTTACCTGCTGTGGAGGAAGCTAATGCCATCAGTGAAGAACTAGACAAGAAACGAAAGTTTGAAATCATGATTGTCTCCCCTGAGGCCAGAGGTGAACTGTCTGGACGAACAGAGGTAAGAATCGAAGAGCAGATTTGTGTTCAGAAATGTTGATTTGAGTATTGAATGCAATAATTTTAAATTGCAGGTGACAAAATTTTAAATAGTTGTATATTTTCCATAAGGCAAATAAAAGAAAAGCTGGGATTTATCGGTGAACAGGCAATACTAAAAGAACCATCCAAAATGTGACATATAAGAGGTTAACAGTAGACATGTGCTAATTTTATAATCTAATCTAATAACATTCTTAGGGAATAAGTTTATAGCACTAACAAATAATGAAGACTTAAATAATAAACAAAAATCAGTATCTGTGAGAGATTATATTTTTGAGAAATCTCAAGACAGTATCCTATATTTTCTTCCTTATAGGTAATGGTAAGAATGAAGGACTTAGAAACTAATCATGAATGGGTGTGGCCAAGACAAAAGTTTTTTAATAGGAAGTTTGTCATGCAGGAAATGTATAATGAATTCCAGGAAGGAGATCCATGGGAACTTCCAGCAGTAAGTAATTATTATTAATTTCTTCTAGTTCCAATGTTGCATAAATCAATATGCCATTTTGGTGTGAGTGGGCTTGTTGTCTTATGGACACAGAAAATTGTTTTTAACAAGCATAGTTTCCCATCTAACTACATTATTACTTAAATGTTGGATGAAAGATTTCAACTTATAATTCAAATAAACCAGCATTAAAATAATTCAACACTGTTAACCAACTTGTTTTTTGTGAATAATTTATGTACATGACTTTTGCAAGCAGAAAAATAATGCAAATATAATCTTCTATTACATGAATATATCACTATACAAATGTAGTTCAAAAATTAAGAGAATAAATCGCCATGAAGTTGGCTACAGAGTACAGACGGGTAAATGTGAAAATTAATAGCTGTAAAAATATGTTGCTTTACAGTTTTTCTGAATGTAGTTAATGAATTATACATAAAGATTTCTTCCAGTTAGGGGTCTCCTAGTCTTCCATGGATGTATTTATAACAAAAAGTAAACTTTAATGTACTGTACTGCAAAGTGATACTATACAATGTACTGTACTGCAAAGTGATACTATACAAGTATTGTAAGATTTATGATTTAATTGACTCTAGGAGAAAACGTGCATATATTCGGCTGTTGTCTGCTCTTTGGTCGGGTTGTTGTCTCTTTGACATATTCCCCATTTCCATTCTCAATTTTATATATTATTTCAGGAGAAAGATCCGTTCCTTGATGATCCTAATGCAGAATTTCACATTGGAAGTGTTAAAGTTTGGCTGCAATCTATAGCATATATGGTAAGATTTATATATCAATAATTTTGTTGGTGATCGATTTGGTCCTATTATCTTTAGAGGTAAATTAATATTTTAGTAAAATTTCTATTTATTATTGGATAGTGATATAATCAGAAATATGTCAGAAAAAGGATCCAGTTTCATTTTATGCTGTAAATTGCTTATTTTTTAGTATAATTGTTTTTTTTCAGATTGATACTAAAGAGCAATTAGAAGTGACAGATTTTAAAGGAAATGAAGTGGGTCTACTTAATGTAAGTTTTGAAAGTTATGTTTACATAACATATGGAATCCTGTTGTCCCCTTTCAACTAAAACTTACAGAATATACTTATCTCCTCGGTTTTTAGACATATTTTGTATTTGCACAGTGAAGTTGGACATATTGTAATATATGATTAATCTCATCTACAAAATGAGGTAGCATGGCAATATTTCTCATTCACTAATTTTCTACTAAGATGATAATGCTCTTATGATATCTATACTTATGTAAACTTTCACTTTGCACTCCTTTATCACCGAATTCATTTATTTTTTTGTGGTTAATGATGAACAACTGTATTTTTATGGATATTTATTTTTGTGGTTGTAACAAGTTATCCACACAAACTGAAAGGTAATTTGCCTTTTGTTGAAAATTTAGATTCATAGTTAACTTCTAACCCCAGGAATAGTATTGAATCCACAGTAAAAATAGTTTTTCCCGACTGGATTATTTAAGGATTTCCAGAATGTATATATTTTATAGAGTTCAAAAGACATTGTATCATAAGAGAACCAATATGATATAGCTAAATTCTATTTAATTTTGTTATATCATATTATGATGGTTGTACTTAGTGCCATGCTGGTTCGAGTTCTGCAAATTTTTTTTTTACAATATTGATTGAAAGCTGTTGAATACAATGTCAGCACATATGTGCTATGTCATTGCAATGGAGAAATATGTATTTTATACCATTATAATGATAGTGTAGTCCAGATTTTAATCGGCTTGCTGCAAGTCATAAGTAATATGCATATTTTAACCCATCAGTTCTGTTTGCAGTTTATTGTAAAATTATTAAGTTTGATATACAATTTATAGCTTGAAGTTGTACCATGTGACAAGTCAGGGAAAAAGGAGATAACAGAAGATGATGATGTGTTTATAGAGAGCCCTGATGAATTAGTAGGCAAAGAACTCAACTTTAATGTCAAACTTCTTGGATGTAAAGGACTCCCAAATAAATTTACAGTAAGTTAATATAATTTAATGTAAGTGAAAAGATTGTCAGACCTTTTGTCTTCTCCCACATGATTCATTATTGGAAATCACATATTTTGCGCAAATATAAAACACCTAGAAACCATGCACTCTTATATACATTTTGTTTGACTTGAATATGAAACCTTCTTTTATAATGTTGTTTTACAAGAATTTGCTTTTAAGACTTTGTAGACTAGAAGATGAAATATTTAGATTTCCGAGGACTTTTTTGTACACATGTACTATTATATTATCCTTGTTGTTACTTGTCTGTAAATACATATACAGGTAGCTATTGCCACACATAGAAACAGTAATAATTATAATTACAACAATAGTCTGGTAAGAAAAAAAGTGATGTGTACTTTATTTTTTTAAATATTATTCAATTCTTTTTTTTTTTTCAGGATATCTATGCTAAATATACATTTTATTTGGACAAGAAAGTTATTGAGACAAAGAAAATTCCTAATACCATTAATCCAGATTGGAATTTCACACAGCTTCATGCAACACCAAAGTGTACCCCAGAGGTAAATATTGTACATAAAACTTTAAGGTTATAAGATAATGTTTTTGATGAAATTTGACAAAATCCTCTGGATTTCTACCAAATTAAGTCCTAGGAAACATGGAGTGCAGGCTTCAACAATCTAAATATTCAAATTCGATAAATAGATATTATAAAAAACAGTATGTTAAAAGATCTGCCTTATCAAACCTGCTCCTTTATATGAAAATTCAGTTGATTGATAATGAATTTGTTTATATTTGTTATCTCAAATACATACCTGCCAACTTTTCAAAATCTCCATGGGGGATTTTAAGTGCAAGAGGACCTAATGCTCCTCTTATATTGTCATAAGTGCTTTTAATTCACTTCTATATTGTTTGGATGAGTATGTATGTGCTAAAATACCCTTTTAACTCATTTGAATGCCTGTTTTGAGGTGTTCAGTTTGTATAATAAAGAATTTCAAAATTCAGGTCAACACCTCTCATGGGGGATATCCCCCATAAATCGGGGTAGTTGGCAGGTCTGCAAATATTGTATATTTTTCCTTTTCATGTCTGCTTTTTTCACTGACGAAATAGGCAATTTAAATTAAAGACAATAATTAGACAGCAGGCCAACAATAAAATTTCATCAAATGCAGACATCTACAAATGTATGTTGTATTGGAGATTCTTAGTTGCCATATTGTTAAAAGGTTATATGTCATTTATTTAAAATGTGGTATATTATAAATTATGACTATTTGCATTTGTATATTTTAGTTCATCAAGTATGTTAGTGAGGGAGCTATCATGGTCCAAATCTGGGGCAAGTTTAAACCACCAAAAGAAAAGAAGAAAATTAACACAAAAGATTCCATGATTAATGCTGGTCTTCAGAAGGCTGCTACACATAATGCTAATACTAATGTGAAGGTTTGTTTATCTTCTGTCTTTAGTTATATTACATTATGCAAAAATATCATGTTAAAATCTCTTTGCTCAAAAATTTTACACCTCTCCTGTTTACCCTTTTGACAAAAATTGTTTACAAAAACAAATATATGAATCATTTTGAAATTTCAAAATTTTTATAAAATGTGTACATTCAGGATATTCATTTTACCATAAAGTATAGTTGACATTTAACAAATACTTAGAAAAATTATTTATTTTTATTTTAGAAATATTTTTCGTCATGTAAAAATTAACTGCATGTTTATTTGATAGCAGTTTTAACACTATGCTATCTGTGTGACTTTTCAGAAATATGATGCAGACAAGATGAAATACATGATGGAAACAGCAATGTTAAGAAAGAGACAGGAAAAGATGGAGAAGAAACTGGTAATATTTCTGCTTTTATCTTTTGCGACAAAATATCAAGTTGGTGTTTCTTTTTTGGCATCATTGTTGTTGTCAATAAATTTTCTTATCAAGTCTATATCAGAATTAGTACTTAACTATTATTAGAACTTAACCTAGCGCTTAGTTTTTATACGCCCGTTTACGGGACGTATTATGGTATACCTCTGTCCGTCCGTCCTTCTGTCCGTCCGTCCGTCCGTCTGTCTGTCGTCAACATGTCGGACATTAACTCAAAAATGCTTAAACCAATTTGCATGAAACTTTGGTGAATTGTTTATATCTATTGACATGAGCTCGCTTTCATTTTTTATAAAATTTAGATTTTACGTTTCCGAGTTGTGGGGTTTTATTCATTAAAAAAAGGGGGATTTTCCAGTTTTCAGACAATAAGTCAAGAATGCTTTTACCAACTTGCAAGAAATTGTGGTGAATTGTTTATATCTATTGACATGAGCTCCCTTTCGATTTTTATAAATTTTAGATTTTACGTTTCCGAGTTACAGGGTTTTATTCATAAAAAAAGGGGGGATTTTCCAGTTTTCGGACAAAAACTCAAAAGTGCTTTCAGCAATTCTTATGAAATTTTGGTGAATTGTTTGTGTGTATTGATGTAAGCTCCCTTTAGAATTTTATAAATTTTACATTTTACATTTCTGAGTTATGGGGTTTTATTCATTAAAAAAAGGGGTGATTTTCCAGTTTTCGAACAATAACTCAAAAATGGTGTCACCAATTCTCATTGAAGCTTTGGTGAATTGTTTATATCTATTGATGTAAGCTCCCTTTTATTTTCATAAATTTCTAATATGATATTGAGAATTAATTGAACTTTATTTGTTTATAGTCTGACAACAGATTTACTAAGTATTGCACAACAGCAAGAAATCTTTAATTGAATATAAATTCAATTCATATAACCAATTTCAAGTTCTTTGACTACATTTATTCAGAAACCTGTAATATGTCAAATATTTAATTACAATCCAAATTCAGACCTGAATCAAGCTTGAATATTGTGTCCATTTTTGCCCCAACTGTTCAGGGTTGGACCTCTGCCGGCGTATCTAGTTTTTATAGATTTAATAAAGATAAAGAAAAGATGTTGGTCTTCTATTAATATTGATAATAACTTCTTTATTAGAAAGTTAAGAACGATGTGTGCTTTAATTTTCTGCAATATTATATAGTAGTCAATGTTTTGGGCAGTTACATTATTTAAATTTTACATTTTTTTTTTTACATAAGGCCAATTAAAATAAATTGATAAATTTTCATCCCAGACCGACCTCTGAAATCGTCCATCCCCGATTTATTTTTATTTATAAAAAATTCTGATTTCAGGATTTCCTTCATTTCTGTTACCTGTAACCTAACTGATAATTTGTATTTCTTCTAGTTATTTAACCGGAATAATTAATTTGATATATTACTCTGCTCTATGATGGCTATATTGACTTGCAAGTAAATGTCACTCTCTGTACTCAATAAATTTTTTATACTAATGTGTGCTGTGATTCGTTCTCTTTCAATATTCTTGGGGGGTTTATCAATCTGATGTGGATGGTATTCACTGCAAATAAGGTTTTGGGGTCTATGATTTTCCTGAAGCACTACTTTATTTTATTGGTGCTAGCTCAGAAAGCAAAAGAAATTTGATGCAAGTTGTTGAAAAGAGAGTATTCTTCCACATTTTTGCTACTTACAGAAAATTGGTTTCTAAAGCAATTAGAAGAGTTGTTGCCAATCATAAATAAGATTTAAGAATTTGGAAATAATTCGAAAAAGAATATAAAAACATTAATGGTACCAATTGAAGAAATACTAAAAGGTTTCAGAGGAAATGAAAAAAAAAAAATAAAATCCTCTCACCTGCTCCATTTTTCCCGAGGTTGATGAAAATTTACTAATTAATTTTAGTTGGCCTTATTGGATATTTTATTGCTGTAGGCCTCCAAAAAAGTATAAATGAATTAACTAATGATATTTTCAGGTTTGGTTGAGGAAGATGCTTGATGTAGCAGCAGAACACAAAAAAAAGAAGATTTCTACGAATATTATAAAAGGAGTGTATGATGCAACAACAGCTGATTCAGCAGATAAATGTATAGCTTTGATTCCGTTGGAGAAAGGTAAATATTGGTACGTGTTTTCAACAAACTTTGTAGAAAAAAGAAATCAGTTTGTGAACTTCACTATAAAAGACCATTGTACATTCAGTTTCTGTAACAAGTATATAATATCAGTCAAAACCATCATAAGTATTTTTATTAACACAGGTGTTGATAAAACATGGAATTAAGCAACTGAATTTGAAGTTTCATTCTTTTGTACACATTTATCAGACCTAAACAAATAAATGTGCATTTATCAAAATTTACAGGAACAGAAAAAAGGATTTAGGGGAAATTCTTATTTATTTAGAAATTATTTCATTAGTAATTTTCAAATCAAAATAGAACTGAAAAGATGTAGCATCATTCAACAAAGTGTTCTGTAAACATGCTGTTGAATTTATGCTATTATAGACATAAGGAATAGAGCAAGTTTTATTCCCTATGACACATACATGTTTTCAAAGTCTTGGACATAGCAGGGTTTTTACACAGCAAGTTTTAGCATGCATGTTTAAACTTACTGTGTAAATGGTAAGTTGGGTTATTTAGTCTTGTACATTCTTATAGCCATGATTTTTTAAAAGTCTATATAGAATTTACTATCCTGAAATTAAAAGTATATACAAACACTTTGCAAGGGGATTATGAAATTAAAAGTATATACAAGCACTTTGCAAGGGGATTATGAAATATCAGATTATCTCCCCTGTATTTGACTGACTTTTTTAATACATTTATACTTTAGATTCAGATGATGAAGGTAGCAGTAAAAGTTCATCTAGCAGTGATAGTGAGTCTAGTCATTCATCAAGTGACTCACACACAAAAACAGAAGGGGTTGAAAAAAAGAAAAAGAAGAAAAAGAAACGTAAGAAAGACAAATCAAAATTGTCCTCACCAAAAGAAAATTCCTCTTCACCAAAAGATGACAAGAGAAAGGAAGAAAAATGGGAGAGAAAGAAATCTTCTCATGATACTTCCAGACAAGAAAATAATAGGCAGAAAATTGCTCCCAAGAACACAGCCTCAACATGTGTTTTACTCTAGACTTATCACTGTTATTTGTTTGACACTTTTTGCTCAATCTATGCAATAAAGATATGTGTGTATTTTATTATTAGATTGTTTATTACATTATTGTATGCTACACAGAGCTGCATATTTGTCATTGATTAGTATTTTAACCCTAAGGCTTTGTTAAAATCCTACTCAAAGACAAAAAATAAGGATAGACATACTGTACTGAAAAGCCCTATTCATTTAAGTTTGAGCATATAACAGGGCAAAAGTAGTTATGTTCTTATAAATTTATATCATAATTATAATAAATACACATATATTTTTATTTCTGTATAGTAATTATGTATAATTAGTTACCATTTGTTTTTTTCTAAAGTTATGATTGTTTCAAGAATGAAATAAATGTTGATTTGTAATTTAATTTGCTTAATATGCAAAACCTTTAACTTATTTTGTTTGCTATTTTTTTGTATAAAGATATAGTTTCTGTTCAGTGTGGAAAAACATATTTAAAAGTTGCATTCTTTAATTTAATTTCATCACCCTAAGTTAAATTGCCTGCTTGTCAACAATATATTCTGTTTTATGGTATGTAATGACTTTTCCTTCTGTTTTATGCATATTTTTCTACTTTATTTTATTGTAAAGATGTTCCTACTAATGACCAGTTAGTATTACACAAAGCATTCATTTAAAACTAAAAAATAATTCCATTTTTTGGATCCAGTCAGGACTAAAGACAGTATTACAATTTGTATTTCCTTGGTGCCAGTTTGCTCACCAATTTACTGTTATATATGTTTGTTGCAACAATAAAAATAATAAGATATTTTAATGAACTACTTTGATAACCATAACTGTGTTTAGATACAACCAAATTCAGTCCAATAGTACTATAGGGACTGTCTAGACTCTGTTCAGAAGAAATTTTGTAACATCAGTCTGTTGTTTGGTAGATGGACTAGAATACACAAAAAAAAAGAGTATGTGTACTCCATATAAATCAAACAACAAAGTGAGATATTTATACATGTCATTATATTGTAACTTAGGGATTGTTGACATAAGCATATCAAATATTTATACCTGTTATTAAATGTGTTGAATTTTCAAAATTTAGTTATTTATTGTAAGGTATTTAGATATATTTTGTTTTATGACAACTATAGATGGTTCTGTATATTGATTGACATGGAAATTATGATTCTTAAATGTTATAATATAAATGGTTGCATAATTCAATCTGTTACATTTGTTTTATTTTGATTGCTTTAATGATAAAACATTTCACTTAAATAAAAACCATGATTTTCAATGTTTGATTTACACCACTTATAACAACATAACAATGAACTTGCCTGTAAGAATAAATATCAGTTATGACCTCATACTGTTTGGGTTTGCAATAATATAAAAGGAGATAATATGTAATATTATCGTTGAATGCCAAAATGTCCAAGAAAGATACGAATAATTATATAAAACTTAAGAAGCAGTGACATCTTTTGCTTAGCTTTAATGTTGTCTTTTGTCTGTAAATGTTGTTGAAAAATCAAAGAATCCATGCATCAAACTAAACCAGTAAAATATAAACATGTCCCTGAACAGTTATAACTTAATTTATTGTTGTTAGATTTTTGGTGTGTTTACCTCTTCAAATTGTTTAAAGTGTTTGAAATTTTAAACCAGTAAATTTTTAAATAACAGCTTATTTATTTGTCTAAAATAAATTCTGGTTGAGTTGTGATCTGTGGATTCTTGTTTTAGCTTTATAACATAAATATAACTCGGTTTGTGTTGTAAAGTTCAAAAAAAAATAATTCATGAAATTGTGCAATATCAAAATCATATTTTTTGTAGATTTATTTTGTTGTTTTTATATGTTTATGCAGAGAATTGCTCTTGCATCTCTTGGTACAATTAGTGCTTAGGTTTCAGTAACTTATCACTTTAAAGCTTGATGTATTGTGTTATTTCATGTTCTATCAAAGAGCATAAATGATATTGATGCATCATTGCTGGTGGTATTATATTCATTATCTCATCTTTCCATTTTTTATTTAATGATTTGAATTGTGTTCGATTGATTTTTTTCACTTTCCTTTAAATTCCCCTCACTTTATTTGCATGCAGGACATTTTTATACCAAGTCTAATGAGTGAAACATTTGAAATTTAAGTTCATATTGAGAATTCTTATTAAGATGATAAGGTTTAAATCTTTTTCAATTTTATTTTTGGTTTTATACTTAAGCTTAGTTGAAAATTGTGAAGAAAAGAAATAAATTCAGCTATTCAATCTTTTGCCCCCCCCCCCCCCTTCTCACTGAGAATTGTTGTGTATATGGTATAGGTAGCACTTGCTGATTATAACACTGGCTTGATTTGCCGTGGTAGCTAGTTTTATTAACAATATAGATTATACTACCCTTGTTCTATCCACAAATTATGGATCGTCTCCTTTGCAAGAATTGCCTTCTTTGTTTTTAGTCTGTCAGAAGGATGTAACTGCTTAATCTGGAATTACTCTAGAATTCTTAAATTCATATACTAAAATTAGTTATGTGTTGTTTTGTTAATGTTGTGTGTAAAGTGATTAGCAATGCTTATCAACTGCTGCAAATCTAAACTTCTTACATTTTTATTTATCAATCTTACATTTTTATTTTAAAATTCCAAAACATTTAGTCCCATGACATGTCTTGCTTGCATGTTGATCCCTGATGATTGTGTTTGACATTGTGGATATAGTAAGGGTTTGGGTTTGTAGTGTATTAACATATTAGTGTGTGTTAATGGAACATGTTCCAAATTTTTACACTGCCAAAATATTTATGTGACTTGTCGTAGGACAAGCGAAGGCTTATCAAAGCAAGACTGTGATAAATTGTAAATAAAATAATCATTTTTTGTCATATTCATCTTGACAAATGAAGGTTAATTTGGTATCCATAGAAACTTGTGATATTTCTATGGAAACAATCAAATTTAATCTCAACCGTCAAGGTCATGTTCATTTGTTATTGGAATTATTGAAAATTGATAAACTCCAGTTGGGCCACTTTTTACTTCCAATAGTTCATTATCGAAAAGTAACTAAATTATCAAATCCTACAAGATATTGAAAATGTGAGGCTTATTTCTTTTATGTGCATCTTTATCTTTTTTGTTTCTTATTGTCTCATCTGCAAGTAAAGTTGCAGAAGCTAAGCTTAGTCCAGCTGCTGTAACTAACTGTTTCTACTGGTGGCATCAGCAGTTGTTAATGTTACACTGTCAAGACATTTCTCTGTGTCAACAGTTTATTGTTGAGAAATCTCCAGTTTTGAAAACTAAAAATTGATTTAATACAGAAACAGCATTCCATTCCTGGCATAGTTTGCCTGAGTTTTCATGGACAAGTATTTAATACTTGTTTTGTGTAAAAGTAATAAGTGGCCTAACTAAATTTATATTGAGTTTTGTTGAATGAAGATGACATTCAACAAAATATTTGTTTTATAAGTATCTAATAATAATAATAATCTTGATAATAAAAACAAAGAAAAGGACAATAAACTAAGAAACAAAGTCAAGAGAAGAAAAACAGTATATCCACATGTTGAATGGTCATTTTTTGTGTGAAAATTAATATTTTCTAATCATAAAATTATAATAATCTTTGTCAAATATCAGTTGGATGGCATTGAAAAAACAATCTTCCAAAAAATTAAGAATATTTGGGCAAATCCTGGGAAGTATAAATTTAGAGGTCATATAAATAAATAAGGCAAAAATGTTATGTTATATTAATGCTCCTTACAGGCAAGTTCATTTATAACAATATTCAGTTAAATTTTAAAAGTATATTAAGACTTCCTGACAAAAATTTATCTGTAGGTTTTTTCTTATTTAGATGTTATATTACTGATTATATCTATGAGTTGTTGAGATTTATTTTTACACATTCCGTCCAGTAATACCTCTTATGTCTTTGATGTTGTTTATAAATTATTTATTTTATACTTATTGTTATTAACTTGTTGTATTACTGAATAACATTATTTTTACAATGTTACAGAAGACCTATCAATGAATGATTAGTTTTTCAAGTAGAAATTTAAATTTCCCATTGAATGAACACCACAGAGAACAATAGCTGGTATTTATTCAATGGGACAGTTCATTTGCAAAAACTAAATTGCCAGGTAAACACCAACTGATGCTGGAGAAATATTCATTGAGCTGATTTTCAACAAAAAATTGCATTGAGGAGAATGGCTATTAGAATGGCTTTAATTTTCCACCTTATCTTGGTTTAAATATCCATGTAAAATATACAACATAACTATCTGAAAAATTATTTCTTTTTTTAAGGAAATTGCTAGAAAGTGTAATATAACAGTTTTCTTATGATATAGTACATAAACATTGCCTAAAGTCCAGCTGCCTATTCTGGACAGGCTAGCATTGGCATAATGTTCATTGTTGACCAGAGTTGGTGGTAGATTTCACATGACAAAGCTTTTAACCAAATCATTTTATATTTGTTGTTTATTCAAATGTTTATCTGTTTTTAATCCAGAAACGTTAATTTCAATATTCTATATATCCTAGATGGATTTCAGAATATTTATATTGTTTGTTTTGACAAAATTACTTGTTTGGTATTATTGCTTCCCTTTACATGAATTTAAAGGTAACACTGCAAACTTTTTAGTGTACTATTTTCTATTTTTGATTCACTGATATAGTATTCATTTAAAATACATTCCAGGCGTTTTGCTTATTCATTGGATTTAGCATCATTTAATTCAAAGAAAAAAAAAGAATTAATAAAAAAAAGTCACAATCAAGCATTCACTTTATTGATAAACTTAATATTGTTTATAGATTTGTTTATTTTTTATATTATGTTTCGTGGTCAGGAGTCATGCTGTTATATGTTTAAGAGTCCCACTTACAAAACAGAAGGGGGAAAAAAGGCAAATGTTTTAAAGGTGGGACTAGCCAGCTTCAAGTAATGTAAGATAGTGGATAACACATGAATGGAGGTTCAAATCAGATATCTAACTTTTTTGTTTATTTTTTCCGTCCATAATTTTGCAATATTTAATATATTTGTTTTCTTTTTTGTTTAACCTAGTACTTATATGCAATCATACTGATGAATGAAATATTTTTAAAGATATGTGCATTTGTACTATTCAAGAAAATTTTCTAGAAATGCAGTAATATTAGTGTTCGGTTAAAAGGTTCAACATTTAATTTATGAACATGTTACATGGTACATGTATTGAAAACAAATTGTAAGCTTTTGGCATGGTGTTACCCCATTTAAAACTAGGGAATAGTTCAAGAACACATTGCTCACCAAGTTTATTTTAAAAAAAAATCATAAATTTGCCCTCTATTTAACTATGATCATTGATCTAAGATTTTAACAATTACTATGTAATTTATGTATTCATTTTTTTATTTGTTTGCACCTTTGTTCAACCATTGAAACTGATGCACAAAGACGTCTAATTAAAAGAGTCAACTGTAAGAACAAAAATACAACAATTAAATTATTACAGTATTCAAATGCCTTGTTTTTACTTGTTTTACTATAGATATTTCTTACTAGTGCCCTTTGAACTGATGAGGAACTTATCATATTCTATGACAAAGCTAATAATGATAGCAGTAGTGGATATATTTTAAGTGTAAAAGTTCTCTGGTAGTTTTTGAATAACAAATTTCTTTTAGGTCTAGTTTGTTTGAAAATATTAATTTTCATTTTGATCTGTAAAGCATATAGTCAAATGATCGGTATTCTGACTACCTGTGCACATTTGATGCTGAACCTGTTCCTTCATTGTTTATGAATTATTATTATGGCATAACTTCAAAACAAGAGTGCACATGCTGAAATGCTTCGCCTGCTGTCTGTAATATTAAGGTTTTAGTATACAATCATGCTGTACACCAAATATAGTTAACTTATTGCTTATAGTATCTGAGAAACAGACCTAATTACGAAATTTGAACATTGACCAATGAACCATCAAAATGAGGTCTATGTCAGATGAACCCTGACAGATAACATGTACTCCATGCAATCATTCCATACCCCAAATATAGTTAACCTATTGCTTAAAGTATCTAAGAAACAGATATAATTATGGAAACTCAACATTGACCAATGAACTTTGAAAATGAGGTCAAGGTCTGATGAACCCTGCCAGACAGAAATAAACACCGAACAATAATTCCATACACTAAATAAAGTAGACCAATTGCTTATGGTATCTGGTATCTGAGATACAGATTAAAACACAAAACTTAACATTGATCAATGAACCATGAAAATGAGGTTCCGGTCTAGGTGAGATGAAACCTTCCAGACAGACATCTTTACCAATCTTTTCATACACCACATAAAGTTGACCTTGTGCTTATAGTACATAAAAAAAAGAGACCAAACCACAAAAGGTTTAACCAACATTACTTGCTACCTTAGATGAAGTAGTTCGCACATTTTACCATGCTGTCCAAACTATGTGCCATCTTTTATTTCCTTGTCCAAACAAGTAAGCAGTCATGCTGGTGGTATCTGCACTGGGCAGGTTTTGTATTGTATGTTTTTCCTTAACTTCATATGGTCTTTAGATAGGCCAAAGTTGTTTTTGCACAAGTAAAACTGGTTTACTCCCACCACGTTTTGTACCAAGTGTCCTACCTAGACCATGTGTTATATGTTGTTGCTCGTCTTTGTTGTATGTCTATTTTTTTTAGGATTTTGGTGGTGTGGTTTGTAGCACTTTCCAATGTTGTAGGATACTCCTGTTATCCTTTTAAGGTATTATAAGCTCTGCCATGTGAGCTATTGCCATCATTTTGTGTCCACCTTCTGTCTGTTAGTTGTAATCCGTTGTTTATCTTCTGTCTGTCTTCAACTTTTCTTTAAAAATGTTCTCCTTTGAAAGCAGACAAAGGATTGAAACCATAGTTTGTATGCTTTATCTTTGGGATGTCTACTATAAAGTTTGTGATATTTGTTCAGGTTGATTAACAAGCATGCTATCATGGCTACAAAAAGAACATAAAGGTCAAAGTCAAACTGCAGTTTTTGGGCTTATATCTTGACAACAAGAACTATGGAAACTTCCTAACAACGTATTGTAATTTCACACATATTTTACTGAATATAAAATGTTTTAATTCAAATGATGTCTGATTCTTATGAATATAGAAGACTTTTCGAAAGAAAAATTGTATGAAAACTTAGTTTGGACATTTTTATAGCAATTTTGAGAGCCACTTTGAGATGACCCCTATATAAAAATCTGTAAATGTCATCATCAATGTAAACATAAAAGTTTTAAACAGTTTTCGAAAATCATGTCTGATAGATGATTAATAATGATTAATTTTTCATTATAACATTGAAGTGGATTTAAAGTCTTAAAGGATTGTAAGTATGCTTTATTTTATCACCTTGCACTTTCACAACTTGACTGTGGTTTTCTACAGCAGTTTCTTCAAATTTCTGACCAGTTGAACAGTTTGGTTTTACAAAACAAATTGCAATTTGGTCAGAATTTTGAATAAATTGCAATTGGTGGAGAGCAACACTAACAGTCAAGTCACAGTAAATCATTTTGTAAGACGTTTCGGCCACTGGCATACTCCAGTTTCTTTATTATTCTTCTTAACTACACGACATACATGTCACTTTCACAATCATAATGATACTATCATTAGCAGCATATTTATGATTGTGAAAGTGACATGTCTATCACGTAGTTTAGAACGATAATAAAGAAACTGGACGGTAGGTCAATGGCCGAAACGTCTTACAAAATGTTTTAATTACTACAATAGTGTAAGATGTGTTCCCTATTGCTTGGTAGACGTGTTTTTTTTTTCAAAAGACAGTCGGTATTCTTATTGGAACAATCGTATTACTCTTCTAACTGACACGTTCCGTTATTCCAGAGACATGTGTATATATGTCTCTGGTTATTCATATAAGGATGACTTCTTTTCTTCGTTTCTGCCATGATGTTGTGATTTTCTGTTGGACTTGTGAGTTTTGAATGTCCCCTTGGTATCTTCCGAATTTGTTATGAAAATCTCTTTTCTGTTGATCTTGTATTGCTGATGATTTTTTTTTCTGTTTACAGTTTCTCTCTACCATCTTTAACTTTTGCCCAAAACACAAAATGAGTAAACAAATTGTCATTTAAAGGCTATCACTCATATAAAGAGACTACTAGCGATATCGGCAAAAGTTGACTTATTTGTAGATTGTGTTAATGATCATTTTTGTTATCTAAAGTTTCTCTTTCTTTTATAGTTTTCAAGAAAATAGGCAAAAATGCAAAACATTGGTAAAAATCGTCATTAAAGAGCAATAGCCCCAATAAGGAGTCGAATGTTGATATCGGTCATTTGCCTTTTGTGTGGATCTTGTCTTGCTGATCGTTCTTTTGCAATTTAAAGTGTCTATCTATATATTATAGTTTTCAAGATAATAGGCAAACATACTAAAAATTGGTAAAAATCGTCATTAAAGAACAATAACTCCAATAAGGAGTCGACTAACGATTTCCGCCATGTTGACTTATTCGTAGAACTTGTCTCTCTGGTCATTTCTGCCTTTACAGTGTCTTACCTATCTATTATAGTTTTCAAGGTAATAGGCAAAAGCACGAAAAATTGGTAAAAAATCATCCTTAAAGTGCAATAACTCCATTTTCGACCCTGTTGACTTATTTTAAGATCTTATCTTGTTGGATCATTTTTGATACATGTATATAAAGTGTCTATCTATCTATTATAGTTTTCAAGATAAAATGCAAAAACACTAAAAATTGTCATTTAAGAGCAATAACTCTAACAAGGAGTCGACTGACGATTTCAACCATGTTGACTTATATTGTATATAGACATTGTCTTGCTGATCATGTTTGCTTTTTAAAATTAATCTATTAAGTACAGTTTTTTAATAATTTATTAAGGAAAAAAACTTTTAAAAAAACGAATAAAAATCGCCATTAAAGGGTAATAACCCATATAAGGAGTTGTCTGACGATTTCGTCCATTTGATTTATTTGTACATCTTGTCTTACTGATCATTTTTGCTAACCAAAGTCTCTCATCTATAAGTGTTTTCAATATAATATGCAAAAATGAAAAAAAAAGTGTAAATTCATCATGTAATGACAATAACTCCTATAAGAAGTCGTCTGACTGTTTTGACGTAGATGGACAGTAGGTAGATTACAACATTCTGAACATTTTTGCTCCTTCCGATTTTCTCTTTTCATAGCGGTTTTCAATAGACAAAACTTGCATTTTACCCCTATGTTCTATTGTTCGCCATGTCGGCAATGTTGGTTGACAGGCGGGATCATAGGACAAAAGTTTTAAACCAGATTCCATTATGCAGATTGTGGCCAAGTTTTGTTAAATTTGGTCCAGTAGTATCAATTGAGAAGATTTTGTAAAAGTTAACAGACGATGACGACTGACGCCAAGTGACGAGAAAAGCTCACATGGCCCTTAGTGCCTGGTGATTAAACATTACAAGCATGTAACAGTGGCCATTCTTGTAAAAACAATTTAATGCTGACAACATACACAAGTTATAGTTATTATATTTGAAAGATACGAATACATATCACATATTCTGCAGAAATTCAAGACACACCAATCTCAAAACTCAAAACTAAGATATAATCTTAGATAAACTGAGAATTTAAATTATAATGAAAAGTCATTTAATTGTCTTTTTTTTTCATTTATTTCTTTGTTTATAAGGATAAACATTTGTTTATCCAAAGATTTAATATAGCCATTATTCTATTATTGTTTAAAAAGTTATATTACACAGTTAAATTTCGACCTGCTTAAAGATGAAAGGATATGCACATATTTTATATTGGTATATAACATTGTGTATTAATTAATTTATTTATTGTTACATATTTCCATCAATTTTTCATATTCACAATTTTTATAATGTAAATTACTTTTACAATTGAATGACATTGCGATTTTTTTTAAAAATACAACCATTTACATAAATTACTTTCCAATTATTAAAACATAACCGTTTGCATAAAATATTGTTGATATGTTAGGTGGGCGAAGTTAATAATTCTTTTATCTTAGGTTGCTTTCATACAAATTAAAAACATATCACGAAATGATTTGTCTTTCAGTCAATGAAAGATCAGCATTTGTATGAATTGGACATCTACTTTTAAGCTTTTAAAATACTTTTAATGTTTTCTGTATTAAATGTGGAATGTTGAAAAATGTGTAACCTGAATTTTATACTTTTGAAAACTTTTGCTAATTTTATGTTTATAATCATCTAGGAAATGATATTTATGCAATTCATTTTGAAATACTTTCACAACAATGAATGCAACTCCATACGTGCTGTAAATGTTCTGATGATGAAAATCTTAATATTTCAATAAACTATTACTGAACATTACAACTAACGAAAAAAATGAAAAGCTATGCACATCCGAGTGAGGACAAGAAGAAAGCATTCTTACTGTTTGAGGATGAAAACGTTTTGACTTT